TGTCAATCCACCTCCTTGAGATCTTCCTCTTTTTGGCTGGCCTTCTACTTTACCAAGCATGATGTCCTTCTCTGGGGACTGATCTCTCCTGATAACGTATCCAAAGTACGTGAGATGAAGCCTCACCATCCTTGCTTTTAAGGAACAAGAAGCTGTACTTCCCCATGACAGACTTCTTCATTCTTCTGGTAGTACATTGTATATTTAATATTCTTTGCCAACATTATAATTAAAATGCATAATTCTTCTGCAGTCTTCCAACTTTTTCATGCATAAGAGGTGAGTCAGGCAGGCACGCTTTAGTCTTCAGAGTGACATCTTTGCTTTTAATCACTTGAAAGAAGTCTTTTGCAGCAGATTTGCCCAATGCAGTATATTGTTTGATTTCTTGATTGCTTCATCCATGGGTGTTGATTGTGGATCTAAGTAAAATGAAACCTTTGACAACTTTAATTTTTTCTCCAGTTATCATGATGTTGCTTATTGACCATTTGTGAGGGTTTTTGTTTTCTTTATGATGTGGTATAATCCATACTGAAGACTGTAGTGTCCGATCTTCATCAGTAAGTGCTTCAGGTCGTCTTTGTTGTCAGCAAGCAAGGCTGTGCCATCTGCATATTTACTTCAGTTCTTTTAATCTCCAAATATTTGCAGATATAACTTTATCCTACTTTTAGTCTACTGACAATATGAGAAAATTATTTTTACTAAATGAGCTATGTTATGTGAATTTATTCATCTTATGATTCACAGCTTTCACTTTTCCTGTGATATATAAAGGTAGATGGCTCCTTGCAATTTATGTTTTCTTTTTTGAAATTGTTTTATGCATCCCAGAATAACTATCCAATAATTCTGCTACCTTCGCAAATAATGGCACTTTTTGATATGCTAATATTTTTAATAAAAAAAAGCACAAGTGCTTGTTCAATTTTATATTATAAACTATTGAGATTTAACTGAATAGCAGTTTACTTTTATCTGATAGGCTTTTCATTTGCACCTAGGTTATAGATAATAATTATAGATAATAGACTTGAGTCATTATTGTTTCATTCCCTATTATTTGAAGAAAATATTATTTTTTAGTACATAATTGGGTAAATTTATTTTTCATTAGTTATTCATTCTGCAATTACATTATTTGAGTCTAATTTGTTTATATCATTTTCTAGGAAGATTTATAAACAGTTGTTATTCATTTTGATAATCAATACTTAGCTTTCTTTAGTGTCTTCATGTCTTTTTTTTTAAGCTCTTTCTGTTTCTCTCTCTGTCTCCTCTCTCCTCTCCTCCCACTCTTACTGTTCCCTCTGTCTTTTCTCTTTCTCTCTTCCTCCTCCCTGTCTGCCATGTTTCTATGTTTTGAAGTTGTGAGGTACTATCATGCTATGTAAGGTTATATGCTTATAAATTAGGTCTCATCTCTTTCCCTCAATAATCTGAGACAATTATTAACTTGTACACATTCTAAAGAATATATCTTCACTAGAGAGTATCACTTTTTCTTAGTCTGCACCATTTCCTTTCATTATTTGATAAAAACACCGTCTTATTTGTCTGGAATTTTAGTTGTCCTTTTCTCTGAATTATACGTATTATGAGCTTATTTTTTCCAATTTGCTTTGAGCTTTGGTGCAAAGCTCAAGTATTATTTTTCAGATCTATATCGACATATTGTAAGCAAGATTGGGCAATCTACTTCCATAAAAATTTACTGCCTTGGAAACCCAGTGGGGGGGTGCCATGACTCAGAATCAACCCGATGGCAGTGGGTTTGGATTTGGTTTGGTTTTTACTTAGAGACACTTATAGGTAAATTTACCTACTTGAAGAATCAGTCTTTATTTTTATTTTTATTTGCCGGGCTTTGGTCTTTCTTCATATACTTTTCTCTACTAATAAAATAGTTTGTTTTGGTAGATTCAAACTCTTGGTTTTATTCAGTCCTATTCTCTATTAGATCTCTCTAAAAGGCAATAAATATATATAAATCCCTTATTTTGGGGTTTAATAGGCCTATAAGAGAGTATTTAACATTAATCAGGATGATCCTTCTCCATTGTTTTCCTATTTAATGAGCTGAAACATCCAAGTTTAGTGATTTGAAGGACTGACCAGAATGATTTTTCAGAAATGAGAAAATTAAATTAGTTCCTATTGCAGCCTTCTTCTTTCCTTGTTAGACACAAATACATATATGTCCTCACAACTTTTCCCTTTCCTTCCTTCCTTTATTCAACAATTATTTATTGAGTACCTACCATGTGTTCCACACTGTGCTAGACACTGAGGGACACAGGAGAAAACATGGAGAACATGGCCACTTTATGGCACTTATATGATACCATATGTGGTTATAACTTATTTTTCATTGACCAGAAAAGTAATCGGTTCCAAGCAATGATGAAGCCATCATGTGGTATCTGAGACTTGGACTGTGAGCTTCCTGAAAGTAGCAACCGTGTCTTTACTTTCTGTATCCTCAGTTCCTAGCAGAGCACCTGGTACTTAGTAGGAGGACAATAGACATTGTATGAAAAAAAGCTCAGAAATGCAAATCATGGAGCAAGTGGGAGCAAAAAGAGGATATAAAAAGGAGTAGCTAAGATACAAAATCAGGGAAGTAATCAAACATGTGGTTGCTTAGACATCTTTACAGAGTAGTTACTTTAATTCTCTCTTTAGATAATGTTCCCCTAGAAAGTAGTCTACATGGTTTTCTAGATGGAGATATGCTATTATATAGGCCATAAGCCATCACTAGGATAAATACAGAAGAAATGTAATAGTATAAAACATGAATATGGAAAGACTTTAAATACTTTCAAAAGATACAGAAAGTATTGAGGATTGATAATATCAAACAGAGATAGTACAATAATTCTTTGCTAGTTTATGAGTCTCTATTCTGTTCAGCAGTGGAGATAGTAAGTACAGATGACAAAATCAGAGAAAGTATTAACCTTAATCATATATGAACCAAAAACATTGCAATGAATTTGGAAGTAGCACTTGTTGAAACTTAGGTAGCTTCTTCCTATTTTTTAAAACAAAATTTAATGTAAATATAGGCAAATAGAAATAATAAAATGGAAAGAAACCATTGATATCCATTGAGAAGCTTTACCTGTTCTTTCATTCTTATAAGCAATGACACCTCAAAAAAATCAAACAGAAAAGAAATTAGTCAAGAATCCATACTGGAAGACTAGTAATAAGAAAAGCAGCTCACATTTTCTCGTTGTATTTTAAAGACCAGAAATATTGACACTTCAGGACTGACCTGTTGACTTCATAATTTTTGCCCATACAAAAAACAGAGTGCTGGCAAAGAATAGCAGGTTTAGGCTGGCCCCTGCATGTGGGAAAGACTGTGACGCCTCTTCTTGTTGCCTCTTTCTGCATGATGTGCTTCAGACAGACAGTCTGGGCTCCTTTGCATCCATTTTTATTACTAGCAATAGGCTTTCTGTTTAAGAGCATGGTGAATGAATTCTGTGTTCTACAATGAAGATGATGCTGTTTTTTTCTTCGTTTATCTGAAAAATAACATAAATGTATTGTGTTTCTGTCCCATAATTTAGTCTGACAAAATGCCTTTCAAATGTTGTCATCTGTGCAGTATCTAGATGTAGTGAATCTGATAGCATTCTGTTCTGGTTACACTATCAGTAGATACATAATACACCTATCTTTTGTTTCTGTTTTGGTTTAAAGATCTTGCAACAGCAATCAACACTAGGCAAGACAGTGATGTATTTTGTGTAAGGGTATACACACTGTATGTTTGTGTCTTTGTGTATGTGTGCCCCCAAATTAAATTGCCTGGGTTAACTTTTGCTCCTTGACAAAGTGAGTGTGCAAGAGTGCCTAACAAAGTGACAGGGTCTCAAACTGAGCTGCATCCAGATCTATGAAAACCAGCCAGAGGGAGACAACTTCAAAGTTAAAAAAAATATTTTCTCTTTGTACACTTAAAACGAGCAAACCAAATCACGGTGGTTGACAGTTTTCCTTTTTAAGAACAACTAGCTTGGCAGAAAAAGCAAAAGTAGTAGTGATGCATTTACTTTTCTGAATTACTAGCTATGATTTTCCACATTTACTATATTTGGAGAAAATCACAATGCACAGATAGTCGCCATCAACATGAGCCAAGGGATCCCCACCTGGAATTTCACATCAAAGCATAGAGTAGGGAGGACTCATAATCTTGCTCTTCACACACTCCATCTTCCTTCGAAGTAGAAGAGGACAGCAGAGAGATTCTTACTTAAGTAGTGAACAAGTACATTTCAACGGGCAAATTGGTTCTATTCAAAACAGTTAATTGTTTTGCTTTCCTCTCCCTTTAGGATGCATTCAATTAAAAACCTGCATCCTGGGTAAGATAATGTTGGATCAGGATGCATATGTATGGATTTGACCTTTAGAGAAGGCCTATGAATCTTGCTTTTTAAAAAAGAAAGTCATAGAAGTATATTACAATAAGTTGACAAGATGTAATTATGAAAAGTAGTTGAATTAACTTAGAAAAGCTTTAACTTGGTCTTTATCCTCTGCTCTGTCCTTATTTCAGCATGTGTATTTTTTAGGATAAGCATATAAGGAAGCAGAGGAGTTTGCCTTTTTAGCAAAAGAAAAATTTCCAGTGCACTTTATATGATTTCTTTCCACTTTCTAAATCAATTGCACATATTTTACATTTATAGTTTACAATTAATGTTACTATTTTCAACAAAAATAGTGAAATTCTTCTTTGGTTACAGAACAAAATGACACAAAAACTCACTTACCACCACAAAACATAAACATAGAGATCAGAGTAAACTAACTTTAAAAAACAACTTTTTTTTTTCTTTTGCCATCTTGCATATAAGTACAAAAGAGATATTCTGAGAACAATGTGTTGTAGGGAAAAATTAACTTGAAGAAAGCTTATTTTTTCTGGCCCGTGATATTTCAAAACACATCTAATCTTCTTTTTTCATTTTTAGCTTCCTGGTTAGTTTCATGGTGGATGCCCGAGGTGGTGCTATGCGAGGGTGCAGACACAATGGGCTCCGAATCATTATTCCCCCTCGGAAATGTACCGCCCCAACACGAGTCACCTGCCGACTGGTCAAACGCCATAGACTGGCGACCATGCCTCCAATGGTGGAAGGAGAAGGCCTGGCCAGTCGCCTGATTGAAGTTGGACCTTCTGGTGCTCAGTTCCTTGGGTAAGGGTTTCTGATAAGCCTCCCACTTTGTCACGGATGAGCTTGTGTCCTCTACGTGAAAACTCTAGGATGGAGTGGAAAAAGGTATGTCACACTATTTTGAAGGAAGATTGGCCTCTATGATATTGTTTTTAATTGGAAATAGCACTTCAATCCTTGACTCCACTTACATGCCTCTTATTTTAAGGCATTAATGAGTTAAAACTCCAGGTTGATTATTATTTTTCCCTTTGAATATATACCTCCTAGACTCCCAATAAAAAATAATCTTGATTTAACCAATGGTAGTTTTTTTTTTCCCCCTCTGAGTCTTAAGTGGTAAAGTCCTAAAGAAATAATACTGTACTGTTCCAATACAAATATAAAATCTCATGTAATTATAAAACAGAATCATTATCTTCACTTTAAAAATCAATGTTACTTTATAGTATATCCAAAAATTTAATCTGTGTGATTTTTTTTTTCTGTTATCAAAATTGCTATCTTGTGCCTTACAATTACACTGGCAGTGCATGTAGTTGCAGTTTGCATTAAAACTACAAATTCAAGACTAACTTTCTCTATGCTCATTTTAGCAATTTTGACCGGAAACTAGCATTTCTTCTGTCTGTTTGTACGGCTGCTATTATATTGAGTGGCATCTCAACGTGCCAAGAAATGAATAGCTACCGCTGAGAACTGACAAAAGGATGAAATTGTGGAGGGGACAAGTTTCAAAATGTTTTGAAACAGATCAATTGTCTTTAAGTCTTGTCATTGAGCCTTGATGCTTAAAAACTGAAAGAAACACCTATTAATCAGGAAGTCTTTTACTTTGCCCATGTCATATCAAGGAAAGAATTACTTGCTTTAGAACTCAGGAATGTTCTAAAGCCTTGTAATTTGGAGCAAACTTAGCAGTGTGTTCCAAATTACTTTCACTCCTGAAAGAGGGTGTGTCTGTATTTCCCAATTTTAGAAACCACACCCATGTCCTCCTATCAGACAGGCCAGAGCTTTAGAAGGAGCCTGTGAAGTTCTGGGTTGCATCAGAGAACACTATATGGTTGTAGTAATTCCAATGATTCTTTTCATATTCTGTCCCAGCCCTTGGCCCTTGCCTCATGCTCAGGTACTTGTAGGCTTTCAAATAATCTTCAAATCTGTTGAGGAATATCCATGAAAACATCTAGCCTCTCTATGGAGTCAGAGTTTTTATTATATTCCCAACAGCTTTGTCTTTCCCGGGGAGCATGCGTATATACACATATTTTTCCTTTTTGCCAGGGCCCTGGCGGTGAAACTAAATAGGGACAGATCTGACAGCTGAGAGCTCTCCTTCCACAGATGTGCCTCCATTGTACACTCTGGGCCTTGGTTCCTTGCTCTTTGTGACCAATGGAGGGGGCAGAACCTAACGCAGTGAGAAACCAAAGTTCACCCTGTTGATCAGCTGGTGACATTGGGGTTCTGTGGAAAACCATACCTGAAGCTTACTTATGTTCTTTCTTTCACTGCTGCTTTGGATGTACTCAGTAAACTTCACCTGCCAACGGCTCCTCCCCCACTTAATGAGGGAGAAAGTTTGGTCAGCCGCATCCTTCAGCTGGGGCCTCCTGGAACCAAATTCCTTGGGTAGGAGTGACTTAAAACAAATTGATGGCTGCTGGCCCCCCATTCTTCTCCTTCTTCTACAATATGATTTCTCTTTTTGTCATTGTGCCCATGACATGTCCCTCTCTATGATTTAACTTCTGTATAGCCTATCTTTAGTGGACCATTTCTGACCCTTGTGGTATGTGACTTTTATTTTTGAGTGATGTTTTTATATCTTTTCCCTTAAAGTGCTGTGACCTTCATTTTCGTTTAAGCATGAGATCTGCCTAGTTGTACTACGTGCTAGTTCTGATGTTGTTATGATTAATTTGGAGTCTGTATCAAAGCAACCTGGACTCAAAAATCAAAAGCCTCTGTACATTTTGAGAGTGAATGTAATCTGAAAAAAACAGGACAGTGCATGTGCTAGATCCTGAATATAATAGGCATTGGACACATTTGGGCTGTCTGCTAAGATGATCAATTAGGGTCACACTGTGTACACATGCCTATTGTTTCCTTGAATGACGAAATACAAAGAAAAACTATGAGTGCATGACTTTTTAGTTCACAAGTAGCCAACTTTTCTAACATCTCCTCATTGACAACACATCAAATGATGCAACGTATAAGCCATTTCTCTTCTTAAACCATTTTGTCATGTTGCACCTTGTAGAAAATGTAGAAGATTGGCACACACCATTGATATGCATGCACATTTCTTTTGGTTAAATGTGTTATATTTACATTTATCAAAGGAGAAGTTCCAGAATGCCACACGCACTCACAGGGAAACATCACTTAGCTTAAGGTAGCAGCATGTACCCGAGGAGGGGCACCCTGAAGTGTAGTGCTACTCTGCAACCATGTGCTAACCAGTGAGCTCTGGAGAATGGCCCACTCTGTCCCTGTCCCCAGAAAGGAAAGAACTCCAGGTCACTTTGTAACAGACAGGGTGAAGGTGCTTGTCTTGATGTTGCTTAGCTCTTATCACACTAAATGTTCTGCATTGCTATGTCAGGCCTGTGATTGTGGAGATCCCGCATTTCGCGGCTCTTCGAGGGAAGGAGAGAGAGCTGGTGGTCCTGCGCAGTGAGAATGGGGACAGCTGGAAAGAGCATTACTGTGAATACACAGAAGACGAGTTGAATGAAATCCTCAATGGCATGGATGAAGGTACTTTAAGGGCATTGTTTTAAAAATCTCAAAACTGGAAGCATAAAAATGACTTTGACTAAATTTCTTGCTTATGACTTAGGGATGTGTGTGTCCCTCTGTGTGTGCTTGTGTATGTGTGTGTATGTGTCCCTTGCATTCTTTTACCACAGCAAGCATTCAGTTATTTTCCAGTGGTGATAAAGTGAAATGCATGATACAGTCGCTTCATCTCAGTTCTGTTACATTCAGGAAAATAAAATCCTTCAAGATAACAAACATCTATCTCATTTTAATAAGGAGATATAACATGTCTCCATTTTTAGTGTGAACTTTTTCAAACAAAAATGCCTACCTTGAAAACTTAGATATTTAAAATATTGACACAAAGCACTAGGCTTTTCTACTGAAAAACTTACATATTACCCATAACTGATACATAGTAGGTTAGCAAAATTTATTTCAAAATTGCTGTTATTAAGGAGAAGGAAAATTAAATTAATCCAAATATCTATCTATAACTTAAACAGAGAGTTAATTGAGGTTGAATTTCATACATATACATGAATTTGTCATTGAAGGTATCAGTTTTCCATTAGGGCTTTATCTCTCTCTAACTCCCAAATCTACATTGGCCCATTAAGCCACCTTACAGATTGAAATATTTCCATTTCCCTAGAAGAAAGTAGCTCATTCTTAGGCCTCCAAAGATTTGCACGGTGAAAAGGCTCTTGTCTAATACTATGAGCCAAGTTCCATTTTCAGAATGACAAAAATAGGGCAAGCTCTTTGCCTGAGCACCTAGTGAGTTTTAGAGAGAACTAGACATTCAAGGGTAAGTGTAACGATTTAGCAGTCTTCCGGGAATACTCACAGTGGCCATTCAAGTGTGACTTACCATGCCTAGTAAAGAATAGCCTGACATCAGTTCCTTTAACATGTCTTTCTACATTTTATTGAGTTCTGAATAAGAATAGATGCCAGGCTTAGTTTATCCATGTTGTTGTTGTTGTTGTTATGTGCCGTCGAGTCAGACCTGACTCATAGCGACCCCTCCTTGGTTTCCGAGGTGGTATCACTACAGAAGTAGATTGCCCAACCTTCCTTCCGAGGAGTGGCTGGTGGGTTTGAACCGCCAGCCTTCTGGTTAGCAGTCAAGTGCCTAGGCACTATGCTACCAGAGCTGTTTCTAATTCTCAGAACCGTTTCTTCTGCCAACATTTAAGTTTAGGATATTTTCCTCTCAGATCCTTACCTGTTACTGCCACAGGTATGAGGATTAGCATCTTACCCTTGGATGAGGACCTATTCTTGTACTTTCTGTGTATGTAAAAAGTTCATTTTTAAACAAAAAATTAGATTTGTGTATTTTGTTTGTATGATTGGAAGTATATTCTAATTCTTTAATATGCATATGCTATCATTTGCCAGTACATCAGTCTTCAATAATTTATCATCATATCCTAGAACTTCTGGCTTCTACTACCAAGTTATCCCCAATAGTCAAGAAAAACATAGTTACTGTTCCTGCCTCTAAAATAAGTTGCAAATGATTTCTAAGAATGAACAACAATCCATAATTCCATAGAATGTCAGTGATCAACAAAGTTCAAATTCCTTACATTTAAAATGACTACAGTTTTTTATATTGCCCTATATACCTACAGTAATGCACTTTATAAAGTGCTTATGATCCCATCCTTTTGATGGTGGATGACTGGTAAGTTACCAGTTCCAGGGAAATATGGAAACCCTGAGTTTATATTCACTGATATTTTTTCATATCCACAGTTACTATGTTGGGCAACCAGCAAACTGGAACAAACACACAGATACAAATCTTACCCTTCCAAGAAAAATTTTTGTATTCCTGAATAATTCCCCTGGAAACCAAAAGGACCATATTACTTCCTAAAAACCACAATAACTGGTCTTTGAGCTATCTTTGAAATTTGCAAAGAAAAGGAGCCCTTTTCATCACATGAACTAAGAATAGTTGATTTTCTTTCCAGGTTTGTCCTCAAACTTCCTCATTTACAAAGTCATCCCTGCAACACAAAAACTAGATGCATTTGTTTTACAGTGTTCTGGAAAGCCCTGGAAAGTGCTAGTGTTCAGTAATAAAGAAAAAGTGCAAGCAAAATCTGACAGGTCTTACAAGATTGCTTTTTGCTGTTGCTGTTTTAGTTTTTATTGTGATAAATATATATGGAATAAAACATTTACCATTTCAACATTCTTCACATGGACAATTCAATGATATTAATTATGTGTATTGTATTGTTCAACCATTACTGTTATATGTATCTACAGTTTCCTATCACCCTTAACAGAAGCTAAGTAAGCATCCCCTAAGCGATGAACCACCTTTTCTCTCCCCTTACCCACCCTTGGTAAGCCACAGATAAACTTCAATCCCATATACTTGGCTATTCTAGAAATTTCATACAAGTGGAATCAAGCAATATTTGTCCTTTTGTGTGCTTTTGTACATATAAGATAGCTTGCTTTCTTAAAAAAAAAAAAAAAAAAGAGTTCTTCTGCCATATCTGTTGACTATTCACTATGCCAATGAAGTTAAAGTTTGCTAGAATGCTTTCAGAAGGAAACCCTTGCTATATGAAGATGGGTCATTTTTTGTCTCAGTGCTGGATAGCCCAGAAGACCTAGAAAAGAAACGAATTTGCCGCATCATCACCCGTGACTTCCCACAGTACTTTGCAGTGGTGTCTCGCATCAAACAAGACAGCAACCTGATTGGCCCAGAAGGAGGTGTGCTGAGTAGCACAGTGGTACCCCAGGTGCAGGCTGTCTTCCCAGAGGGGGCACTAACCAAGCGGATCCGTGTAGGCTTACAGGTACGCCAGTGTTGGAAGTGTTTATCTTAACATAAATTTTATTCCAGTAATTGATATTCAGCTTTTAAAGTGAACTATTGTTGTGGTAGCAGGATCAAATTTTTCATGGCTGAGCAAAAACTGCCATCAGCGATCATAGTTCTTATAAAGTTTTATATGAGTATTTAGTAACAGTACTAACCTTATACTCTTCATTTTTGAAATCCAGCAAAGTGACTTGTGAGATAAAAAGAAATGTATTGAGTAAGATATTTGACATAGCACATCATGATACATGGTATAATTTAATATTTGTCTTTCTTTGCAAAGGCTCAACCTATGCACAGTGAACTAGTTAAGAAGATCTTAGGCAACAAAGCTACCTTCAGCCCTATAGTCACTTTGGAACCTAGAAGAAGAAAGTTTCACAAACCAATTACCATGACTATTCCTGTCCCCAAAGCTGCAAGTGATGTCATGTTGAATGGTTTTGGGGGCGATGCACCAACCTTAAGATTACTATGCAGTATAACAGGTGAGTCACAAATAGCTATGTTACTATAAGATTCTGAAAGAAGAAACTTAAATCATGGGAGATATTAAATAACATGTATTACAAGATACCTGCAGAGATATTGGCATTAATTCCAGAATTTATGAATTCTAATTAACTAGAGAAGCATAAGATGAAAGGAAATGAACTAATGTTTATGATATAAAATCTGTATGCCAAACAGATACTTTAGATGCACTGTCTTTTTAATCATCATAGTAACCTTATGAGGAAAGTTTAACCTAATTTTACTATTAAGGAAACTAAGATCAAGAGAAGTCTGTAACTTACTCGAGTTATACCATGAGTATTTGGCGGAGTTGAGATTCAAATCCAAGCACATATACTTCCAAGTCCAAACTTCAAGGCTTCATTGAAGAAACTATCTTCTATCTGTTGAAAATGTAGCTTCTTGAATAATGATACCCAATAAGTTCAAACCAAATTTTTCTGTCAAAAATTTGCCAATGTCTTTGTCCTTGATCTATTGAAGTAACATTAGGAAAAGAAAGATATTTAATAGTTAACTAATTTTTCATTTTTTCAATTGGTAGTTGCAGTAGTTTACAGACTACCAAACTCTAGAAAGCTATTCCCAGAACATTGGTTGTCCCTACACAATACCACCACCACAAATTGTGGGAGGTAAAAAATATACACAAAAAACTCTGCTGTGTTCTAAAGCCACATAATTTAACTGAAATTGTCCCGATTTAATAATAACTAAAGGGCGTGGAATTCAGCAAATATGCTGTTATTGAATGAATCAATAACTACATGGTGTGGGATTCAATAAATGTTCATAGGGTTGTTGATAGGAATAATAACCACCTCTGGTCGCTTTGAAATCCTTAGAATTTTTTTTTTTTTTTTTCATTTTTCCTTTATCCCAGCAGTAATGTTCACCCTGTTTTTGTTCTTTCTTTATAATACTTCCCTCTTACTACTGCATGTTATTTTTGTATTTATGGTAAAGAACCATTGAGGTTTTATCCCATAAGTTTAATAATATGATGACATTTTATAATATACGGACTAAAATGAATACATTTTATACATATAAAATGCTGTCATAAAATGAATACATTCATGTTTGGGGGAAATCACATGGTTCTTTTTATGATCTCTTTCCCATTTGCTCATTTCTTATCACCTGGGTGTCCTTCCCACAGTTTTTGCTCCATGAGTGTATGAACCATTCTACAAGATAAAATGTAGCAGCATTGAAATGAATGAGGTGAGACTGAAAAATATCTATGGTCCACCCCATATTTGTAGATTATCAATGAAGATACTCTGTAGCCTTAGACACAATCTATATTTATTCCAGCCCTTTTCTGTCTTGGGATGAGTTTGTACTAAACAATTCCTTAAATTTATTTATTAATGTTTTTTAAAAATATTCTAAGCAAAGATTTTTTTTTGGATTGTGTGTTGCCATGTTATGAAAATGGGGCAATCTACTTCTGTAGTGATACTGCCTTGAAAACCCAAGGAGGGGTTGCTACGAGTCGGGTACGACTCGACGGCACATAACAACAACACAATAACATTACATATTTCTGTCAGGAATGTATATTTTAAAGGCTTATTAAGTACGTTTCCTGACCTTCCTTACAGAACCAATGACATTCTTTAGGAAACTTTAGAGTTAAGGTTTTTCTTTATCTCAGTGTATATTCCTCCTACAGAACTTTTTAATTGTCTTTTTTTCCTTATGTCAATTTAATTTCTCAGTAGATACAAAAGACAGGTAGTCATTGTAAGTCTTATGGTGATTATTTGCGTACAGAGACCATCTCCTGGCACTCATTTATGTGTTCCTTTAGCCCACAGTATTTATTGTGCTTTTGATATTTTCCAACATCTCTTTTTGCCAGCCTTCAGTTATAAACTGAAGAGAAATACTATTTTGTGAAAATAATTACATATAATATGAAATTCAAGAATAAAAGGATATTTGGATTACTCATGATTTTAACCAAGTATTCAGCTTCTTGGTTGGTCAAAGGATCATTTAAAATAATCAACTGTGTACAATTCAAAATAATCTCAGGATTTAGCAATTATAATGGCTAAACAAAAGCTTCAGAATGTCAGGCAGAGAATGAAACGCCTAGTAATTTGAAACAGTTATTCAAATAACCTCCCTTAAATGCAGTTCCTGGAGAGGCGGAGTCTGCTGTTTGTTTTCAATGTGCCATTTTTAACATGTAGCTTTTAGTCATTTTGTTTTCAATGTGTCATTTTGAGGGGTGGGTGGGGATACACTGGTGAGTACAACTAAAACTGCAAAGACATTATTTTGCAATCCAGAGTCTGGAGTTTTGCCTAATTTTTTTTTCAACAATCATATTTTTTCAGGTGGAACCACCCCTGCTCAGTGGGAAGATATTACAGGAACTACGCCATTAACATTTATCAATGAATGTGTTTCCTTTACAACCAATGTGTCTGCCAGGTATGGTTACGCAGCACAGAAGGGCCCGCTTTGATAGTGCTCCTCTAAATCCTCACCAAAAAAAAGAAAAAAGAAGTATCTTTTTTTGTTTTCATTTTTTCTTATACTATTTGAAAGGGAAAATTTTTTCTTTGATTTTAAGTATCATCTGCATTTGTCTCATATTTTAAAATAGATTTCCCAGCAAATATCCTAATGATATAATACCAGAGTACAGCCAATTAGGTTGAAATCTTTTCAAGAAAAAAAAGTGAGTGTCTGTTTTCACTTTGGGACTCTGACTTTGGCTTTTTAGCAGCCTCCCACTGATTTTTCCAGTCCCAAAGGTCTTAGGCCTGATGCGTTTCCTGCCGTCAAGAAAATAGCTTGAACTACATTTTCCAATAGAATGATAACATAAAACAAAGCCTACCATAAGTTGCTTAAATAGCTTGCAGATTTCAGGGGTTCTTAGGAATCCTAACACATTTAAATAATGGATAATATTGAATATTACTCATTTATGTATTATGCATCTTTAGAAAGCTGAAGCTATGTAATTTTATTTCAAATGTACCCAATAATTGAATTTATTACTATTATCTCATGTTTGTGTGGTTCTTAATAGATTGCTAAGCATGTCACATTTTTTATTTGATAACTACAACTTTACGAATTAAGCAGGACAAGAGACATTTTGCAGATGATAAAATTGAATTTTAGAGTGATTAAAGCTTGAATTCCTGCTCAGAGGAAAAATAAAAGACAAAAATGTGGTACACAGCAATAGCTGGATGTCGTGCAGGTGTTAGTAATTCAGTCATCCGGAAGACTTAGCTATTGAGTCTATGATTCTGTGCTTCAGTGTGCTCTGCCAATTATTCATCTACATTCTAATGTCAGTAAATTCAATAGAGAAAATGTACTAAGAAATTCAGAGGAGGATGTTCGCATTGGAATATTTAGAGGATTTCAGAAAAGTGGTGACTCTTGAGAAATATGTAGAAATCCAATGGGCAAGTAAAAGTGGGGAAGAGAGTTTCATGAACAAAGATGCTGAGATAGAATGCCAAGGTATATTTGAGGTACAAAGAGAATGATCTATGTTGTCTACAATTCAGAAAAAATGCTGAAGTGTTAATTTGACAAGACTGCTTATAGAAGACCTTGTAAAAGAGATCAAGAAGTGAAGATTTATTATGTTGTTGTAATAATAATTTAACTCCCAAGACAGTTGAAAAATGGTAAATAAAAAAGTATAATTGGATCAGTAGAAAGAAAGTAATATTTATTTAATGTGTGCCTAAGGCACCTGACTGCTAACCAGAAGGCTAGTGGTTCAAACCCACCAGCCACTCCTCAGAAAGAAGGTTGGGCAATCTACTTCCGTAGCGATACCACCTCAGAAACCCAAGGAGGGGTCGCTATGAGTTGGGTCCGACTCAACGGCACATAACAAAAACAGCAACAGCCATGAACTAGGAACTAGACACAGAGGGTATAATCAGGGACAAAATCTTTGAATTCAGATAGCCTTACACTCTGGTTTGAAAGTAATAATAGTCATAATATTGTGAAAGAAGTTATGGACCTGATCTATGGCAGTGACAATGGAATGGAGAATTACTAATATGGTTTTATTAGAAATTTAGAAGTAGATTTAGTAATATTTTATAAACAAAAGGATATGAGAGAGAGAGGAGTTCTAGATGAAGTTTTAAGCCATTGGAAGGATCATGAAGCTTTGTACCTTGCTAAGGAATACATAAACTGAATCAGATTTGGGAAGAAAATAGGTAGTTGGGCAACAGTGAAAGTAGCCTTCATTGTTGAATTGTTGAGTGTGAGTTGAGTTTCTTATAAACCAACTACTGATTGTTGTCTTTTAAAACTATTGATAGTGATGCACCGAAGTTAGCATACATGCTCATGAGAGGGGATTTTATTCATCTTTCCCCAACTTCACAGCAATGACATCGTGTTGGTACTTTGAAATCAGCCTTGATGGAAGCATTTATACCATGAAAACTGACAAATGCTACTGAAGTATAGCTTCTTTTCTGGACAACCAATTGTGAAATATTTACCAGCACCCCCACTGAATTTATATGTTGTATAAGATAGGTCATATATTAGTTACAGATTTAAAAGTCAAGACAATGTGTAGGTAAAACTATGGAAATACATTTTTTTTTTCATAAAAAGATACTTTAAAGTGAATAGAGGAGAGGATTCTTCAGCACTGAAAGGCAAATGGAAAATGAAAAGCCAAGGTTCTCTGAAATAGAGGAGAATATGAGTATAGAATATTGCTGTGGAACAGAAATTTTCAAAATGAGGATTAGTTAAGTACTAAATATTGTAAAGACCAAGTAGAATTAGAACTGCAAAGAGGCCATTTGACGCAGCAAGTGGCACATCTTGGTAAACTCTGAGAGAGTAGCTTCAGCAGAATGGAAGGTACCAATAGCTGATGACAGTGAATTGAGAAATAAATACAAATTTGAAACAACAGTGAGTGTTGGATTTTCTTTGAAACAACATGGTGGTGAAAAATAAGACCAATAAATTGAGAACTTAAAAGGAGGAGAAGATGAAAGGTTATGGAAATTTGAGGAATGTCTGAAGACTATGAAAAATGAGTCAAGGGAAGGAGAAAGATCACTGATAGAGAAAAATTTTCAAGCAAGAATTCCAGTCTAAGATCTGTACCTCACACCACACACAAAAACGAACTCCAGATGGATCAAAGACTTAAATGTGAAACCTAGAACTATACAGTT